TGTGTTTCTAGTTACTGACTACAAAACGGTGCGGTTGGTCTGTCTCACTTCCAGGCTGGAGTCCAGTTTACCTGCCTTGAGCTTGGCTCGCAGTCGAACTGTCTGTTGAAATTATGTCTAGTGCTGAGTTAGCTGTGGAGTAATGCCTGGATATGACACGCGACGGTGAAAGCCGCAAGGAACCTGTTTCCCCAATGCTTCGGTATATTTGCACGATAGTCTGCTGTTTGTGATGGCATGTTATTGACAAGATGTAGGCGCAGTGACTATGAATGTTTTCTTAGGGTATTAAGGTTTTGCGGTAGGTTCACCTAATTTCCCACTTCTTATTTTTCCTTCTTAATGTCCCTGTCGCTGTATGGCAAAGCAGTATCAGTTCAAATGGCTGAATTACTACTGAAGATGGAGAAGAAGTATGGGAAATTCAGTCAAACGGCATACGGAGGACACGACCTTGCCAACGCAAACGTGTCAAGCTCGTGAGATAGTGTGAGGCACCACTCGGCTTCCTACCAAACTCAATTTGCGGACCTCAGCATTGGTCAACCATCGCAAACACAGGTGGTCCAAGACAGCCATTCTTTTTGTGCCTTTGTGAGGTCCCCAGGTTTCCGGCAATATCGGTCGCAATATATTTGACATTCTCTGAGGGGGTGATAATATCTCGCTGTCTCTAAAGACATTTAACCCTGCAAAAAGGTACACAGGTATGCTAGTACGTGAAACAATCACATCAGTGATGTGACCAGCAAAGGTGACACAACTACACCAGGTGGAGTGAACCGATCCACCATCTCAAGTGGCCGCTCGTTGGTAGCAAGAATCTGTGGACCAGTCCTACAACAGAAGTATGTACTTTGAAAGATCAGCGATAGGCGGTAGCCTATTAAGTAGCGCTTATATAGCTGCTATGTCCAACCCAAGGAGAGCCGTGTTGTCCACATACTCAGGGTTCGTCAACTGATAGCTTGGCACAACTTCCCCTTTTTAAGAGACCGAAAGAACGGAATCGTTCCGATCAGAAGTTGAAGGGGGAAGCAGATATGGAACAAGCCTGGTGCATTCCATTTGTAATGGGAACTCAGGGGGAAACCTGCCACAGACCCACAATTATCCCCAGAAGTGACGATGGAGAAGTTAGAACAAACGTTTCCTTGGCACATCGTTCCCAGATGGACAACACCACAGGCTAGAACGTTGACAGAACCAAGAGTGGTCTTAAAGGAAAAATAGCCAAGTCGGTCGTCCGCAAGCGCATCTATCTTCAAACATTTGAGGAATAAATATCTGGCCAATGTAACCACGAGTAAGATGGAAACCAGCCTGGTTCACGTCAATTCGGATCTCATGAGTCGTCTGCCGAGGAGTCATCTCCAGTTTGAGGCGAAGATGAAGAAAAGTGGTCTAGCCCATAGTGAGTTCATGTCGAATCTCTTTCAAAATAGGAGTCAAAACAAAATGCATTACTTAACAGAATAGTCGATGAGACCGTAAATGGAAAAGCAGCTTGTCTGTCGCAGCAATTGTTTCACTAAATGTTGGTTTAAATGGACCTGCCCCCCAGGCGATTTGAGACGGCACTCTGCAGTCCACAATTACACCGACTTTCTCCAACCCATGAGTCACCGTTACTTACCAATGTTCCCAGTCAATTCCAAGAAATTTTGTCGGTCGTCGCGCTAGGGTGTTACGCACAAGCTCGAAGTGAGTGCCATGCGGAACCTGTTCCCTTGCTTCCATCTAATCGATCGATGGCATGGTAATCTATTCGCGATTAGGATGTCTCAAGTTGCACGTACATAAGCGTTCAGGGCATCCTACATGCTGCATGGAGACGATTCCAGTTAGGATTCGACATACGAACCTCATTCGTTGTTGAGAACAGGCGCGCACGCCAGTTCGTCGCGATACGGACGAATCGTAGAGGGCGACTTTAGTTTACAAGTGAGGCCTACAAATTAGGCCTTTTTCTGAAGCCAAAAACTGAGTGTAAGGCGTGTACCAGTCGAAACCAGATCAGACACTTGCTACAGACTGGCTGACAGTCTTGTACTGATGTCCTTCATCTGTAGAGGGATGTGACGATAGAATCCATATTTGCACAAGCCGAAACAATGAGATATCTTGTGTACAAACATTGATTATTGACATCAATGGAGCTCCGAAGACGGACTGAAAACATGCAGCTGTTTAATGGTATCCGGTCGAGTTGACTGTCTACAGCATGTCCGCTGATGGTAAAGGCCACTTCAAAATTCCTCGAGTCAGTGATCCCGTAACGTCAGACTATACTAATTATAGACAGATTCTGAACCAGATGATCGAAATTTCGGTGCCAAGTTGTTCGTTATCTTGTATGAGGTAGGGCACAGATCGATATCAATAGAATGGAGAGTGAGTGACGCCTGCCGACTAATTCAACGTTCAACGAACCAAAGTCAAAGGAGACACCTGATGTGAACGACGACTAACGTGTCATCACTTCACCAGTTGCGAACAATCTCTTGCTCAATAAAGGAGGAAAAAGAGAGCTGCAATGGGAAAAAGAAAAAGAAGCAGTATTGATAGTGACGTCGAGAAGACAGGTTACTTTTTGGTCGGTCATCCCGACAGAGGGGTTTTTGTTTGAGGTGCCCTATATCTTGGTAGTGGGGAGAACGTCCGGCTAGGGGGTGTGGATATGCTTGAGGCCAGTCACATACAGTCTTGGATAATTTAAAACAATCCACATGCGTTTTTCAACCGCAATATGTTACGCACTGGGACATGATCATGTTCTAACGTTGATTTCAGGTGCTGGGAATCGAAGGCGACTGTTTGGCGTGCATGGCGTGATCTGAGCACGAAGGCAATTGCCGAGGGGCAAGAGAAAGCCCTCGTGCATGCAGAGAAGAAGCGGCAAGTGCGGAAGAGACAGCAGCCCACGTCGAGCGCATGGTGTTGTAGTACATGCGGTCGCGAGTGCACGAGTCAGGCAGACCTATTGAGCCACGAGCAAGGCCAATCGGCACAAGCTTCGAAAAGAAGACAGGTCCTGCTGAGAGGGTGAGGAGAGAGGCGCAGCGTTGGTAGTCACCGCGTGCTTTATTTAAGGTGGTGGGTTTGCTATCTTGTCTTAATGCATAGTTTACCTCATTTTAACGTCTATCTGAATAATCTTTTATTAACCTGCACACGTTGCCTAAGATAGTTGTGGTTAACCTCGTTAACATCTTCGTGTTTGTGGCATTAAAAAAACGTTTTATGACATCTTGAAATCAGCGCGGATTTGTTGATAGCCAATTTATTACGTATGCTAATTTAGTGAAGAGTTAATTGGACATATCCGTATGCCTTATTTAAGTTATTATATTTGACCTCGTAGTTTCAAGTGAATGGCTATTGTTTGACATCCCGATGTGGCTGGGCTTGATGTGCACGTTGATAGGGTGCCTACCTGTCTATTACCCACTATCTCGTTCATACTGGCTCCAGGAGACAGTTGGTCGTTGCTGGAAAGGACGGGGTGCACGGTCCTTGTGGCCATGCTAGGCTGGAAGATTGGTTCCATGCACTCAGTGTGCAGCGGACCACGGAACAACCCCCGTCTTGTGTGCGATTGATTCCCAAATACAGCGTGCTTGTGTTTGCCTGTGAAGGAGTGTGGGCCGACTCCGTTGATGAAACGTGGCTACCATCCACCTGTCTCCTGACCTTATTCTTTCGGGTTTACATTGGATATGAGGTGTGTGGTTGGAGCTGTGGGTGGTGCAGCGCAAGCCACCCATGGTCCGTCTGTAGGCGCAGGCGTCTTGTGGCAGTCCTATGGAAGCCACAGTGATATGCATATCCGGAACCGGATGCCGCCAACCAACCAAGTTACGCACTTGCGACCACGGCCAGTCGCAAGCTGGAGTTGGCGGGTTTGCACTCATTTCATCAGCGTTCGAACTAGCTTGAGTACCGGGCTGTGCCTTTCCGCAATCAGAGACAAAGTGTGGCGCACGTGTTCCACGTCAATCGAATTATTAACTTATAACCTGTAAACGTAGGGTCAATTATGGCTAGGTTTGAAAAACTGTTGGTCATCAAGGTCGCACGAGTTTCAAAAGAGCGAATGCTGAGAAGGAGTTAGTCTGACCACCTAACTATTTACTTGTCTGCCATGAGTCGCTCTACGAGTAAGTGGAAAGCACCGCTCAGCGCAGACTAATGGATCGCTGAGGTACGCAAACCCTCACTCCAGGTTAATGTGTATTCTCCTCGAGTTAGGAGTACTGGGAAAGGTGGATGGCAAATTTTGCGCACGATTTGGTATTTTGAGATGGAGCAATGGGGTTATGTCATGATGCAATGGGAAAGCGATCGACTGAGTTGCACAGCCTCGGGGAGGGGTTCTCTTCTGGCACGGTAATGACATCAACACATTCCAAGTGAGTCGTGCAACTGCCCGGAAGATGTGATAGTTCAAAACTTAAAACCCCCTGAGGAACAATCAACTGAACAGCTTCGGTTGTAAAATAAACGAACGGAAACGCAAATAATAGGCGCATTGCTGTTTCGCACCGTAATCAGACACCATGGCTGCATACGGAATAAAAACCGAAAAAGGGGGTGCAGTTGTTAGATGGAAATAATAAAATTAGTGCGACGAGAATGGATGGGGAGACCACTTTCTGCCCCGCAAAAAAGGATGGTGTGTCCTGGCGATCGGGAAGAGCGATGAACTGCATACGCTGAGCCAAGAATTGAATGGGTGGAGTGATGGTCGCGGGACCAGAGTTTCACATAAAACAAACAAGCATTACACATCATAGCAAGGAGTGCTACAGAAGAGCGGTCAACAAATCACAAAAGATGACAAATGTCCACGCATAAAATTAGGGATTGGCAATTGGCAAGAGGTGAATCAGAAGCAAAACGCGTGGCGATGCAAATCAGACGGAAGCGCATAGCAATGGTGCATTTTGCAATAAAAATAAACGCGAAATGCGACCGCGATTAGAGTGATGGGGTGGTACCTGCGAAATCTGCCATGGCGAAAATGGGAACTAAAGAAGGGATGATGAGAAGAAGTGAGCAGAAATCAAAATATGGGATGTTGGAACCGCGTCGAGTATGAGGAAGGAAGATGCACGAACTAACCAATATGGATGAGAGGAGCCAAAATAAGGATTGGGGTAAAGTTGGAGGAAAACGCAAATTAACGAGCATAATCGATTACGAGGGTGGTCTTTCTCAAGGTTGATAGACTCTCGGTAACCATCCACCGTCGTTGTGATGGTGACGTGAGGGAGAGAGAACAGACGAGATGGGTTTCCGAACCACCACGTCGGAACATCTGAGGCATTTCTAGAGAGTAACGTAGAGCAAGTAGGTGAAACTTTCAGAAAGACAAGCAGTACCGTAGACACAAGTAGACGGTCGGCAACTCAGGGCCCACCAAGTCCATCACGACCTGACCAGACCTTAAAGTGGTATGATGGCTCGAGCACTTTAAGGAACCCCAGAAATACAATGAGAAGCGCTACTGGCGTCTTACTATTATCAGACAGAGGACAACCGACCTCAGCGTCCCAACTCCCGCTACATTGTAGGAAAGTTTCTCAACCAAATACCTAGAACAAAGACCCCAATAGCTCATTTATCTAAGTTTGGACGTTTCGGCAGTATCACAGACCACGCACATTCACATCCGTCAAACAAAAGCCACATCCGCATCGTAAGTCGAGCAGTTGTAACAGGTAACTTAAATAGCAGGGTGATGGGTGAAAACGCAGCACCACTGATGCGTACACCCGTTTCTCGATCCTGTCTATTTTAATCGTCGACGTTCCCCTTTGATAACCTCCTGCGTTATTGCCGATGGGTAGGTCACTGTCGCAAAATACAGCAACTGCAGCTGACTGTGGGTCGAAAAGATTACGCTCTTGCCATGGAATCCGGAGATTACCGGTTCGAATCCGCGTAGATCAGAGCGACTTGGTAGTATACTAAACCCACACGTAACTGTTGGTGATCGTCTGGCACATCGCTGATGCCTATTTATGCGTACGCACCTATCCCTTACGAATCAAAGAAGCAAAATGCGTGCATATTCCTCTGGGGTGCACTTTGAAGCTACAATCTCTATCAACCAGCTCCGGAACAACTGAGAGACGCCTGCATGGAAGTCAAATGTGTGATGTGATGGGGTGTGCAAATAGTGATGTGTGAGACACCCAGCTATACGCAGACGCAGGCGTCTTGTGATGTTTGCAAACACCGAAATAAAAAGGGATATCATCCATTGCTAATGCAGGTAGAATAAAAAGCTGATAGCAGCACACCCGTGGTGAGGCACCTACAAGTCTTTGATCATCGTTGTCCACATAGCATTGCTGGTGCTGGATGGTACCAGCGTAAGCGAGTGTTAGACGGTGATAATCAGGCTAGTTCCTTGAAACAACAGATAGCACTGGATCATTTGCCGTACGTAGTACGTGTCCAAGCCATAGCTTGGGCACGTACTACGTACGGCCGGCCGCTGTAGGTCAAGGAAAATTGCTGGTATCGGATGGCATCAGCGTGTTCGCAACACAAGCGAGTAGTAGTACTCGCCTGTGAAAATCAGTGTTCTTTTTTGCGACAACGTGATACGCGTTTTTGTTTAATACTTAATGAGGAGAGCTTACTGTTTGCCGGATGTTGGATAGTACAAGACTCGAGGTTGGTAGTGGAAAACGGAGTCAAGGATTACAAAACTGGGTGCTGCTGGTCCGTCTCACCTTCTCGGTGAATCGCCTTGTGCTTCGCTCGAGACCCTACAGGACGTGGCTTGCAGTCCGCATCAGTGGTGCATCTACTGTCATCTCCAAGTCGGAGTGCCTGTTTAAAGTGTGTTTTGTGTTGAGTTATATGCGAGATAATGGCTAATGGTGAAGACCGCAGGTCACCGTGGTTATACGGAAGTGAAGCATTATTACAAATGGCTGATGCATTACTGTTCATGATGATGATTATGCTGGATTAAGGATTTCCAAACACCGCAAAATGGACACTACCACACAAACGTAATGTACACTGCATGAAGGCTACGATGAAGCCGGAGTGCCCAAAACTCACCATGAACGAGCGTAGGACCCAGGTACCAACAAAACGCATGAACGATGATGCTACTCTCGAAGTAGTGGCTGGCCATTTGCGATTGAACTGATGCGAATAACACGCGTAGAGTCTTGTATGCACTACTCTAGATAAAGCGATGGATGTGGACGGTATCGCCAATCGGGAATAGCAATAACGAGGTTTGCGTAGATAGAATATTGAAGCAAAGGAAGCCCACTGAAGATTTTCACACGTCTTGTCCACAAATTGCTCCGGATGAGTTTGAGGTACAAAACGTTAACCACGCGTTTATGCAGTAGGCCTAACAAAACCATCCAAAAATTAGAGGGTGGTTTCGAAGCCCTGGTTGTGCGGAGAGATTATGATGAGCAGTCTCGACGCAGACCGAGGTTCTCATTGGAGTGAAGCATGGTCATTTCAATCACCGCGATCATAAGTGAAGAAGTGGATGGATATTGGTTGTTGCCCACCCGAAAGAGCTGCACTCAACGACATAGAGATAGCACGCATCGAACCCGGAATCATTGGGATGTTAGTTTGGACTTCTGCCGCTTTAACCACCGAATCACGATGGGCAACACTTGTCCCGACGGTTAATGACTGATTAAAGGGGCAATTTGGGACTACACGTTGTGTGATTGGATTGCGAAGTGCAATCTCAATGTGGACCGCGATTCACATTGAAGTGAACCTTCGTCAATGCGATCATTGGCACCGTAGCCAAAGTGGATGGAAATTAGATGTTGCTTGCCAGAAAACATCGCACAACCACGAAGCGTTTCGGTGTTATTCCCTCTTATGAGGTGGAGATAGCAGGCCTCGAACCCACGACCATTGGGATGATAGTTGTGACCAATACCCCTAAGCTACCGGATCATAACAGGTAACGCTTGGCACAGCGGGTTTTTAATGAACGATGTTGTGGGTCATTTTGAAGTACACATTGTGTGGATGGATTGCGACGCGCAATCGCAATGTTGACTGCGATTCCCATTGAAGTGAACCTTGGTCTTCCGATTACGAAGACCGTAGTCAAAGCAGATGGAAATTGGGTGATGTCCGCCCGCAAACATTGCACTACTATGACGCGTATCAATGTTATTACATCTTATCCGATGAAGTTAGCAGGCATCAAACCCTCGACCATTGGGATGTTAGTTGTGACCGCTACCCCTAAGTCACCGGGTCACGGCAGGCAACACTGGACACAACGGTGAATGACTAATTGAAGGTTCAATTTTGGAGTACACGTTGTATGACTGGATTGCGACGCGCAATCTCAATGTGGACCGCCATTGGAAATGAAAGGAACCTGGGTCAATAACATCACTGGGATCGTAGCCGAAGCTGATAAAAGAGGCCAGTTAGAGCACATGAAACTATGTCCTTGCATACGAAAGGTGCGGTTGTACAGTAGATACCTCGACGAAACGTTCGTTGTAGTTGAAAACGCTCAACAGACAGAGCGCTTACTTGAAGTCCTAGAGAAATGCCAACCAGTGATCAAATTCCACTTCCTAAATGTACACCTGAAGAGAAATTCAGAAGACACACTCATTCGATCTGTGTATCGAAAGCCTACTTGGACAGGATAATATCGGAATTTCAACAGTTTCTATCCTATAAATCCCAAACAAGCATTGGTCCGCTCTTCCTTCGTAAGAGCCCATAAAATTTATCTTGACGATACGATTGACAGTGAAATAAAACGCGAGTAGTCAACACCACAAGGGAATGGATATCCCGTGAGATTCATAGTCCGGTGTGCGAGCGCAGAAAATAGTAAATGTCCCCGAGAAAGTAGCATTCATCACACTATCATTTAAGGGAGAACAAAATGATGGAGGATTCTGGCACCGCCTTCGCTAACCAGTAAGGCTGAACGCGGCAGAACGGATGTTGTTGCACCAAGTTGAGAAGTTGCCACACCCGCATGTTACCGCCTCTTGTGTTTACTTATTCCACTGTACTTGTGGCAGCAAGTACGTTGGTCGAACTGACAGAAAACTGTCCACTAGGATTTCAGAGCATTTTCTACGTAACATGGTGGCCAACGGTCCCAAAATGCCGACTAGCTCTAATGCGCAACACATCCTGGAAGTAAAGACGTCCTCCTGATATGCTTAAAGTAATTAAGCAACAGAGCAATGTCCGGTTGCTTCAGTTTGCCGAAGCTTCAGCTATTTAGTGCCCTAAAGCCCAAATTGTGCAAAGAGACTGATCTTATGGCCGGCGTCGCTATACCTTGGTGTAGTTACTGATCGCTTTTCTTAGAACAGAATAACCTCGTGCAAGGCTTCGGCTTCGTATGCAACGTGATAATTTCACGGCATGTACGTTAACAGCTGACAAGAACACTCGAAATATCTGAGTACTTCTCACCAATTTGAAATTTTTACAAGGGAAATGTTGCATTAAAAGAAGTTTCGGCTGACAGGGCAGGATTGCGTCATCGAGTCGCTGTTCCGCCATATCTGCTTGATGGACGTATAAGAGTACCAAACCGGTCGTGTAGTGTAGTGCTGCAAGCAAACGAGACCCAACATTCATCTGATCAACCACTCATTGTTGAGCAGTTCGAAGGCACACTCACAGTTCGGTTTGGACGGTTCTTGTGGAACACTTGAGCCAATGTGTATGCGTATGCGTGTGTCTAGAGCCTCCGCACAATCAAAGAGACAGATTACTGAGATCAAAGTCGTGATATGCATTCCTAGGAGCTACGATATGTGATGGTAGCTGGCAAGTCACGCGAGTGAATCGACGGGTAGCTAGTGGACTAGATAGCCAATCAGCATGGCCAGCGCAAGTTGACTACGATTACAAGGTGCTGGGTGAACAGCGAGGATTTCGGTTGCAATGTGGGGAGTCAAGCAGGGTTTCGGTACAAGACAAAGGTAAGTCAGTCGTCCGCGTGCAACACCGACTCTGAGCGGACGGTACACGATGCGACCGTGGCTAATTGGCCGAGCGAAAGGAACAAACGGGACCAGCAGGTGGAACGCCAGCCAATGTGGCCAATGCAAGTTAACCATACTTATACTGGCCAAATTAAGAGTGAGAAACTGGTTTGGAGTATTGTGTACAAAGGGCAACTTTGTTACAGTCAAGATAGGAGCGGTACGAACAGCAGACAACAAACGACAAGCGTAAGCCAGACGAACTCAGACAAATGGTTAACAAAAGTCAGGGAAAGTGAAGTAGAGTAGACTAGTGACTCAAACGTGTGTACAGTATAGAACGGTCCTTTATATTTTATTAACATTTGTGGATCACTGCCCAGTCTTTGTGTTGATTCTCGTAGGGGCATCACGACAAGGTTTGCAGCAAAAGTCACGCAGACTGCAATCCCTACCAGAAAATTCGAGCTAAGATGTGTGAATAAGAAATTTAAGCGTCAGCCTGAGGTGTTCACAGACAGCTGAAAACAACCCCACTATAGGTCATCATAGGTGATCGTGATTGTTGCATCCATAGATAGTGAACTGGGTCTGGCGGCAGCTTGTAAGGAGCCAGTCGAAACGAAGAACGAACCTGAATGCAAGACGCCAAGGCCGCAAGCAGGATACCGAGGAAAGGTAGGCCGAGATCGATGAGATGGTCTCCTAACAGGTCCAACTAATCTACGTTATACAGTCAACGTTACACCGTAGAGAATATATCAGACAAAATTTGAGTAACATAAAACGTAGCCACTTTTAGTTTCAAATGCTATGGACGTAGCGCCTAGTGAGAGGAAGTCATGACATTCGGAGGCTAGCTACTGTCATCTGCTAAAGTAGTAATCTGCGTGGCAGTGGTAGATAGGTCGTGCTATATTCCAATTAGCTTGAAAATTATGTATCCCAGTCGACGTCCCCCAAGGCTCAGTGGCTTATCCTGCTGCGTAGTTGGCATTAGCCTCTAGCGGTCATAGGTGAGATCTCTAGTACGGGACCGAGGGAATGCGAACCACTGACGAGCCTCAATAGGGCGAAACGCGTCTGGTGCTTTTCCGAGTTGTGGTTGGGCTATGTAGCTTGTGAGCTGCTAGAACGAATACATTAAAAATTACAACTAAAATCCTCCTACTCATAGGAAAGTTAAAAGAGACAGTTTTGATCAGAAAACAGTAAATAGGCCACTGGTGATAACTGCGAGCCATGTTTTTTGATGTCTCAAACTAAACACAGAGAGGATACTGTACAAACCAGTCGACGGGGTGGGACAAACAAGACCCGGGTGTTAAAGCCGGTGAATTTATTATCCGGTAATATGTCAACGATTTCTCCTCAAGAGCCAAAACTAACTAATTTCAAGATAATAAACAATTCTTCGCGGTAGGCAGAGACGACAGACATAGTATACGTATGCATCAAAGCAAACTTATCAGTTTGTGTTAAAGAAGTTAAGAACTGTATTGACAACCGTGAATGGACCTGTTCTCATCCGTCGCCAAAATAATAAGAGCAGTAATAATGATAATAATAATAATAATAATAACATCATCATCACCATCATCATGTAATTCGACCAAAACGAGTAAGAAGACGGAAAAGTGGAGGGCCAAAATGAATGGAGCAGTGCGACGGCTCCCTTTAATGATTCTTTGATTGTGTCAAAACTGACAAGGCGTCCGACTACGGAAAAGGCTTATCAGCAGGACCTCAGGCCGGAATATGACGAGAATTATTCTGGGTTCTCTCATGATCTCTTGCCATGCAACCTTGGGGTTTCATGTGATTGAACGCAGTAGCAGTAAACGACACACGCCGAGGCAACCAATTTGCAGGCTTATGGGTCACATGACCGATGCAGCAAAGCCCACATTGGAAAACACGAAGTTTAACAGTACCCAATCGGTTAGTTAACCAAATGTAAGCAATAGTTCGAAGGCATCGGTGATCAAAGATAGTCAGCAAGTAAATGTCATCAGCGCATAGTGGTCAAATCTCCGGATCCACAGAATAATGCTGACCGCGTTGCAAACCCTACCCTTAATCACCAACAGGCTTACGTCTCATGATTTCCGCAAATGGCGGATGCTTGGAAAAAGCGTACCGACTTTGTCAATGAACGCCATACTTCAATTCGATAATTCGATCACCAGAGGTGATGCAGTTACGCAGAGAACTATACATATCGACCAGTTCCAAGGCTTATTCGGCGGTAGGGAGAATGTAAGTAAGGCAGTTTCAGTCCTGCGGCAGCACTTTACATGTAGAAGGCGCGATGCTCATGTCAAAAAGTGCAGCGTTGCGTCGTGTGATTCAGTAGCTCTTTCATAGCCAGTGAGCCAGACCCAAGTAGATCCATGCCGACAGCATACTTCAGGTCTGACAGCCAACCGTCTAGCAGAACGACCCCAAGAGAGGTAGAAAGAGGCGCGAACCATACAACACCATGTCAAGCACAAAGTTGGAATGGAATAAAGAAACAGGATAGTCCTGACCTGCTTTGCTTTTCCTGTAGTACTCACGGGAGTTTTCTGTAACCCCCCCCCCCAACAGCAAAGGGAGTTGCGCTAGAGAGTTGAGAATAATGGGCAACTTCTAGACGCGCACTTCGAAGCGAGGAGTCGCCAGAAATATGTGTGAGTACCGACAGCAAAGAGATTTCACGTCAATGAAAACCATCATGACACGCCATCTGTAAGTATGGTGATGTGCAAAATGTGATTAATGAACTCTCGGCCAACCTAGTTTTCAGTGATTTGTCTCACGCACGTGTCAGTGATCCACTGCAGTTTAGCACAGATTAGTCTGGGTGTGAGATACAACTGGAAACCATTTCCCGCGAAAAGCAACAATGTAGAAAATGCACACTGACTGTGAAGGAGCGACCGTGGTAGTGGCCTCCGGACTTTGACTCCGTTTGGTAGTGGTGGTGGCGGCGGAGGTAGTGCCTGTAGCCGCGAATGAGCCCTCCGGATCGCTCACAACCGAACCTAAATCTGAAGCATTGATTGGATGCGGGCTTGAGAAGGTTTGTGGGTCGCCGCCTGTGCCAGGCCGCGACATTTGTGAGGTGCGTGGGGGCAGGGGATCGGAGCCCAAGGAGACACTGATGAGAAACGGCATGAGCATTTCTTCGTTGAGCGCTGAAAAGAAACGCGGAAGAAGAGACAAATAGAAACGTACACAGAGTAGGTACAGTGTCCAAAGTACTAAACTGCAGAAGCAGGGGACAAAGCGTGGAAAACGACAGGAACATCTGTGGGGATCGGGAAGGAAGAGGAACACATGCATTTCAGACCGGAGGCGCCGCATGGGCGTCAACAGTGCGACGTAGTGGTTCCGGGGAAGCAACTGCGTATGGAAGAGAGGTTAAACTGAACAAAAATATTAACGAGAAATCAATACTTTGAACCGCCGACGCTGCGCTACCACGCAATCAATTGCGCATGGGAGCAGTAGTACTGCCAGAGAGTCAAACCACAGTAGGAGTGGTGAATTGAACCGGAGTCAAGTCAAACACCCGAAACACTACCATACAACGGATTTCTACTGGGTGCGAATTTGGCAAGATTTAAGGTGCACTGTGGATAAATTCTTCTTTAAGACGAATGCGTGATAGCTTTTCAACATATTGTCGTTGCAATGAATCTCTTCCAAAATGTAAGTCGAAGTTAGCATAAGGAAACCTGGTGCCAAACGAATGCAGCGTCGCTGAATCGTAAAGAAGAAATGCTCGCAAAAAATGTACAGGAGAGTGCAATCCATCACGTCCATACTGATACAAATGGCCGTCAACATCCAGAGAAACGATAGACAGCAGTTCCGTCCAGTGGAGAACTCATCTTCAGTGCATCTTTACCTTCATAACCGTGTAAGCAAAAAACAAGAAGACCTAGTGTAGAACCTAAAAGCAGTAAGAGAGTATTCAGAAGCAAGATGTCCCACATTGTCACAAACAATCAGTCATCAATGAGATATCACCCCTAAGGACTTCAATACCCCAAAGCGTAACCAACCTCATTCTACAGACAAACCAACCACACAAAGTGTGTACAGCCCGGTAACTTGACAGCAGGCACGACGTTGATGCTTGTTGTGAGAAACCTGGTGCGAATTACAGGGCCGGTCGCGTGGAACCAAGCTTAAAAGGCGAGATGGAACAGCAGCATCCAATCTACTCTTCAATGGCCTAAGCTCCTACTGCGCCCCGTGCAGAATCTCACATCAAAATTACTACGCACATACTGCACCTTTTGAATCGATTACTACCTTTGTGATATACTATCGTGGGGCTTGCAGGTTTCTGCAGTGCCACCGTTCGTTGTCATTGCCGCGAATCTGTCCTCTTAATGTCACGAGCTCTCCAATCAATTATAATAGTAAATCATAAGTAGATGAAGTAAAGTATTGATTGCGAGGGAACAGCAAGTAATGTGGGCTGAACTCAAAACATCCAAACGCGATCAGACCGTCATCAACATCTGAAAAGAAGCCACAGGCAGTGGTTTAATCCATTGGAGATTCGTCAGCAACGCGCTCGAGGGGATAACGCTGACCACAATACGGACATATAGGTGAGTCAGTAAAAACCGAACTGAGCTACCTATATTGTGAAATCAGTCATTCCATCCATCGTGGTTCAGTCTAGTTAATCAATAACCCGTGATAGGAATGTAGAGAGCACAAGCAACAACAGGGAGCACGCAGAACGACCACCCGCGACGTGTTGCGCAGACTAAAGAGATGTGTTTTTTTACGTTGCCTGTCATCTGGCTGATCCCAATCTCGATAAATTCCATCTGGTTACGCTATTTGAAGATTCACACGACATGCTGTAAAGATGAAAAGTGATAAAAGTTCGATGGATTGTTCGTCAAGAATGGGGACTCAAAAAGCCAAGACATACTTACTACGTTGACAATCAATACTGCTAGACGACAATCGCGCATTGATCAAAATGATTGATGGGATCCGATTAATCCCGATACGTCGTCTGTGCAAGATTTATAACCGAAAGTATTTGACTGGTATGATAAATGATGAAACGTGTTTTCAATGAATATTCTAGTCGAAGCAAGCAGTGTGTGCGTAAAAAAGCGGAAGAAAGAAATCTGATACGGTTCGCATGGGCTGAGCCAAGAGACCCAAATATATAGAGAAAAAAGATCAGGTGAAAACAGCAGAACGTAAGAAATTGGCTATCGGGCACATTGTCGCAGGGGCTGTAGAAGACCTTTTCGAAGAAGGCACCACAAACGAATGCGACAACGTATTTAGATGGAAATTTGCTGTCACTAGCTGATTATGTTGGCACCCCAGTCAGTCATGCTCGAAGAAAAAGCATCACAATTCAAAGCAGGCGATTCAAAAGCGGGCGAAAAAGCTAGTGTCCGCGGTCGTTTCGAGCGCACACGCGGAAACAACCCTACCTAGTGGATAGCGGTCATGCTGTTCCGATTGTGATGGGACGCGGGGAACGAAACTAACGGATTCGGTCTAATGGGCGTAGCGAGCAAGATTCTTCTGGGTCGTCGTTCACACAGATCAAATATTACACTACCACATCAACGATCCACTGAATCACAAAATCTGCATCCAAAACCTTTTCAAAAGAGCCGTAACATACTGTAGCACGACTGAATTGAGGAAGAAGGAAGGGAACCATCAATATGGAGTAGTGAAAAACAATGGGTATCAAAGACATTTCGGCAGAAGGAGCATAAAGAAAAGGGGGCCTCCACAACAGGGAGAACAAATAGATAGACGAGTAGTGATTCCTTACATCAAGAACATGTCCGAACTAACAGAGATATTACTATAAGCACATAGAATCTTTGAAACTCACAAACCAAATGGTACCTTAAGAGGATTGCTCTCAAGGCCGAAAGATAAAGTCAAACAAGGTATTAAGGATGATGCAATCCCTAAGGTAAACTGTGAGAAATATGACAAACACTCCATCGGAGAAACGGAAAGGAAACTCCGAACACAGATCAACGAACACAAAATGGCGGTACGGAGACATGATCCACATTTCTTGGTTTACATGGATGGAGACCAAGTAGGTCACCACTTCGACCTAAGGTGAAAATTCGAGGTGAGCTAGAGAACGCTTAGAAACATGGTAGTTTCCAGCCAATTCAACAAACCGGCGGGTTGAACTAGATGCTATATACGCAGCACTACTGATGGAAGAGCATCAAGTTAAGCGAGTGAATTTCAAGGAATAGAACGCCGGATAAACACATCAGACGACGAAGTCAGCCGCAGAGGTACGCCAAAATATACGAATCAGAGAGATAAATTTCGATGGTCCTGTGCCCATCAAACAATCCAAACTCAGACTGACGGCTTATCAGCCTGGACGACCGAGTATTCACACGCATTGACGTTTCGCATCGCGCCGATCCGCTACATAATAGCGTACTGACGATGTTACCGAGTGATGACGAAAGGTTTGCAGCAAAACTGCCGAGCTCAGCGCACACTCCGACCACCAAAGATTTTTCATATAGTAATATTTAGAAGGAGTCATCACGAGGGTAGGATCAGATACATTGAACGTGGGTTTCATGTTAGGGGGATGACCGCCATGCAGAGGAGGAGCTCAACGTTGCTCGCTCTCAATAGTGCATACCAGGAACAGTTTCGTCCTTGTGTGGGATCTTCAGGTAGAGATGGCTGGATCTAAAAATGGAACGATGGATGCGACGGCTGACGAATGCGTGTGTGGTGATGTTCGGTTACTTAGTGATGTAGTCAACGCAAATGATGATTCACCACCGCCAGATAGACAGCAATGTCTCACTACACCAGAGAACATTCAGCCCAGACCAATCATTGGTGAGTGAGCCCCAGCTCTTCAGGAAGGATGTTGTAAGGGTGTCACTGCCAGGCATCCAATATGCTGGAGTCGATGGGATGTTATTCAAAGTGTTCTTCCGCCCAGCGTTCCAGCAGATGTGATTGGAAGATAGGATAAATTGATCGCCCTTCTCCGCTTGTTTCCCATCCACTGGAAACTAGTTTGGATTATAGTGCGTCAAATAGGTTGACATCCCTCATCTTACGGGTCCGTAGCCTTAAGGATCACAAGCCTGCCATGTAACCCGACGGCGCGGGTTGGAGCATGCGTAGGGACGGGGTGAGCCTCGCAGTATCCTTAGCATGCGCGCAACTGTGATGGATTCGCTGCAGCGAAGCGTCAGTTTTGCGCACCGGCGTACTGCTGATGCTTCTTACGGGCACACGGCATACACCAAAAGATCAGTAAGTTCCGGGAACTCAAGTCAGACAACTGTTCAGTGTTACGGATACCTCGAAGCCGACACTCCGACAAAATCCGTAATCCGATAGCAATTAGCCTACTCGAAGCATTAGTAATCCTGTCACCTTTCAGGAGAGTCAAGCTGAGTTCATCTATTTAGTGTGTCGATAGCAACTGATTTCAGAAAGCCCGTTGATATTGTTGCTTCGCGGAATGTAGATGCAATCGGTAGACAGGCAACTTAGAATCTGCACTGAGGCCGAAACAGTAAGCGTTGCCCAGGCGCGTACGAAAGCATGGTTGGAAAAGAGGCGACTACTCAACATCCACTGGCCACTTTTTGACTAACACATCCAAGTTACAGTAGATGATGATGTAGCCATTGAGAGACCCGACGCGCCTGTCGCGTGGTAGCCGCCATGGAAGTCGCATATGCTAGAAAGCTGTGTTCAGCGCACAGGTGGGGAGGATTCTTAGTATTGTCAAGTTAACAAATGCCGCTGAATCCGACTGACATCCGAAATCGCACCGCAGCAATCGGCTGTCAACTGGGGCCATTCATCAGCAAAGCAGCTTCAGTATGTTTGGGTAAAGTAGAAAAACCATGACAGGTGAAAAAAGGATTGCCGGAACTTTCTGTGGGAAGGGAGAGACGAATCAGTCAATCCATGACATTCATTTGCAACACATGCCAAACGAAACGAACTATCAGGAATTCGAACCTAGTACCTTACTTAGCTGTTGTGGTGATTATTTGCTGAGTAACTTGAGCTAAATCCACAGCGTGTGAGAAAAGTCACTTCATTGATGAACACATGTTTAGACTGGTGTGCTGACTACCAGTTTGACCTGTTTACATAATTCCAGGTGTTGATAACCGCGTCTCATCCGCTACCAATTATGGGTTCGATAGATCCGCGACAAGCATATGTAGCAGGGTGCAGAACACATACGGTCCGCTCAACATCGAAATGGATAACATTCAGCTCACCATAAGAGATGGAAGACGAATTTTTCAAGAAATGTTTCAGTTTAGAGAAAAAGCACACGCGCACACACATTGATCGAAGTGGCACAAAGAAAGCTGCAATGCCGCACAAGCAAAAGAGAAGAAAGATAATTCACTCAGTTCTTACATATGGCGGGGGATCCATAAGTTTCGGACGTAAATGTCTAAATCACAAGAGGAAAATCGTCAAAACTCTGTGATCGGAAATGGTGGCCAGTTCATATGCACTACACCATGTGATAATAATCCACAAAACAGCAATGGAGATGGAGAAAGGTTTGTCAAAATGAAATGAAAATCCATAAGCGAAAACACAACGAAATGTAGCACACAGCACACAAAAAGAACCGTATGGGCGAGGGAGTCATCGATAATAAAGTAGGAACAGAAACGAACGCATTCTCATACGCATGTCAACGAGCAAAATGCCATTCCAATGAGCAAAGAAACAAGTAGTATGGTAATGGAGTTCTCGTAAACTTGTTTATCTGGAGAAAGATTTACTAAACTGGACTCAAACCAGTCTACCAAGAATTTGTGCGAAACTTCATGTGCGAATGACTAAAAAACGAAGAAAAGAGTCAACGCATCAGTGTTCAATATAATTGCAAAAACCCATCCCACGTTGAAACAGTTAACTTAGCGGCTGGTATAGGTATGTCTGAGAGCAAAGTATTGATCAACCAATCTGGATAAAGCGTAGTAAAAACGCCTGAAGTGTCTAACCGCTGTGGGAATCTGCCTCCGAATTTGTCTCAATACCGGTATATACAATGAAGATGAGGCTTCCATTGGCGGTGTAACATGTGGAATCGAATTGCACAGCCTAACGAGTAAACCAAAAAAGGATGAAAGTGACAACGTTCACTGATCTCAGACCGACAGTGTCATAAGATGCATATAGAAATAAGAGTAGCGAAGACAGCATAGAAAATGTCCAATCAAATACATATGATAGAGTGAGTGTTTAACTGTGCAATACATGAACGAACCCGCAGAGGAGAATTTCGTTACCCCATCAGCGGTGGAAGGGGCGACGATTGAGTCCAAGTGTCCACTGACCGCGGTGTATGTGAGCTGTGATGCAGGTTGCTCTGCGGATTTCTGCGACTTAGCCCCCGATGAAAAACTGGACGCAATGCCCAAAAGGCATGATCCGATCGGCATGGGAAGCACGCTACGACTTTTATGCAAATACACCACGGTCCGTTCGAATAATCCGATAGCAGATGAGTGGGAGTTCCAAGTGGTGAGGTTCTCCGATGTAGTGGTGGTAGCAGTAGGTGAACTATCAACAGCTCCAGGACTCCAGGAAGCACACAAATCGGAGAAGAGGGTGGCATAAGCCGGATCGATTTTGCACAAATGGGACGCGACTGCGTTGTGTGTACAGACTGGTGACGACGTGGCTTTGAACGTTGTGACAGCATTGTGATCTGGAGCGAAAGTAAAAGAAGGTGCAAGATACCAAGATAGCGAGAGTATGTAAGGGAACATTTCGAGCAGGTGACAAAGCACTGAAGTTGAGGAATGAAGAGCAAGCAAGTTCGCCCAATCATCAGTCTCACTGAAACCAAACTGGCAGTAAAATGTACCTCTGTGTGTAATAGAACCTAGTGATTCGAAGTCATGCTGCGGTTAACGGCACAAGTGTCCTGGAGATAGTGGCCGAGGTGCAGAAGATGCGCAGACACCTAGACAGTCGCAGAAAGAGAGGACGGAATCAACCGTAGGGGGATGCACCCCACCAATGCCTCGCTGTCGCGCAACTAACATCAGTCGCAGGTGGACTGGGATTAGTGAAAGGGGGTCCGCACCGAAGCAGACTTGAATCGGTGTGCTACAGGTCACAATATAGCAACGTTCCCAAGCTGCCAGCTGAATGACGGAGAAGGAAAGTCTTATCAGAGTTAATGGTATGAAAAAGTATTTGATTGCTTTCAATGAAGTAGACAGCAATTTAATCAGATTACCAAGGTCTCCACATTTTGTCCTCGGATTTCTGAACAAAAAATAAGAAGACCAGCACCGCTAGATTGCACCATTTCGTGTTATCTGATAACTTGCAAACTAACATATATAGATCAGATAAGGGAAGAAAATAATCGCTTTGAATTGGTCAGAAAAAATGCACACAAACACAAAACAATAGCTAGTAGCGCTGGGGCAAATGTCATGAATCCCAAGGAAACTTAAGGGCTGCTGTCGGTTGCCTTTGTACACAAAGAGTGGGACGGTCACGATTTAGGGACACAGCCCCAATAAACTTCAGCACCTTGATATTCTCGTTTCAGGTAGATAACCGTATTATTTGAGTCAGGGACTATTTGTTGACCTGTACTGATCAGTTGTCTAGCGATGGATGATGTCGGCAGCTTGCCTGCTACTCCTTATCCGGTTGCATGTGGTGAAGTCAGACCAGTAATTTGATTCGGAATCTGCTATCCAATTCGCTTACTCAGACTATGGTCTGTTCTGTCAACGTGTCTGCGTCTGCAGCTACAGACGAGTTGGTAAATGCTATGAGTTGTGGCTGAGACCGGTTGAGTAGGTCTGATTGCGGGCAATTGCAGCTTTTTGGTTGTGCAGATAGGACAGAGTTTGGCAGCGTTGCATGTTGGCGAATAGCTGTGTTCACCCGTCGTTGGATTTGCGCCGTCACCACATTGCCTTTGAAGAATAGCTCTAAACAGTCGGTCATTTTGGGCACAGTAGGTACTCTTAGTTTGCTTTCCTTCGGGTCACTGTGTAATCTGATAAATGCCTATCGATTTCCCTTGGCCCGTAATGTCTGTGTGAGGAACGATCATTCCGACTCCACACAGTCAGCACTGCATATTCTACGGGCTCGATCGAACAACGTCTTGACAAGGCAACGTGTGTATTGGACCGGCGCAAAGCTGTTGAAGTTCTTATTTGGGCCTGTCCATGTAGTTCTCCTGTAAACAGAGCGTTTTAATGAGTCATCGTCTCGTCAACAATACATCCAGAAAAGCAAGACAATTGTTATCTTCTAGCAGTGCTCGTCTTCTTATTGTTTTGTTCAGACTGATACAGGGAAAAGGTTTTAAATTGTTTAGATTTCGTATACAAAGGATACATTTATAGTTCTTACCGTAATTTTTGACAGTTGGCTACCGGAACGCAGCATAAACGTGCTCTTCTTGACTTACACTATTATTCGTTTGTTCTGTCTGGGTTACTAAAATAGCATCGTCCAGAAAAATCACATCTATGATGGCTGATGAGGCAAGCAAGCCTTACTGAAAAGAGGCACACTACGCACTACGGTGTCCACTATAGCTCTTGATCGCAGATCTATGAGCCGACAGAAGAGTAGTAATCTGCATAAAACAACGACAAGAGGACGGACAATAATCCATACTTATGGAACCTGAAAATATGGATCCGTAGCCACCTAGACCCGAGTTATCAATGCTAGAGCCAAATGGATTGTTGACTGTAGCGTTTACTCTCTCACTTTATCCCTCATTCTTATCTCCCTGGCAGTAATCAAAAAGGTTTGTATCATCTTAGATGTGCACTGGATGCAACTCAGTGGCTATATACAATAAAACCATGATGTTGAATCTTGCCGCCCCTCTGTTACAAATTCTGTCGGGAGGTGCTTGCTCATCATACACCCAGTGCAAAAAGCCAGTTTTGTTAGGCTCACGATGTTGCAAGCTGTAATTAATGCGAATATTGTGCCACAGTACATTTTTTAGATTTAGTTTGACAATGGAGAATTTATCCTTCGTCATTATTTATGTTTATTCCCTCTAACATATGCGTTATTCGCCGAAACTGAGAATCGGCAACTAATGTGCATTTCGCTCACGTCGTAACTAGCGCCAGAGGGAAAGACGTTTCAGCGTAATTCCGTATGTCTAGACGTGTCAAATCAAGTACTAGCGGAAATTACAAGATGCACTGGACAAAGTTTACGTATTCATAACAAATGATGCTACCATCCTTTTGCATTCTCCTTTATTACGTATTCCTGCCTTATTTGTTTATTGTTACTGACAAACATTTTAGATGCTGTCAAGGGGAATACACATTGTTACGTTAATAGCCGTTCAGACATCAGAAAGTTCCGCTCGTACAATAATTATTCATCTAATAACAACGGAGTACTTATTTGCTTCCGCAAATTAAGGTCTGTGCTCTTAGTTGTACGCATATTGAACCAGAGCACAGGTTGAAATCCCATCATTCATTAAATATGCATATGCAAAGTAAATAATTTTATTTTCGTCCAACGGTCGGAAGTAACTATATGGGTGGTTGATTGAAATCCCTCAATCAACACGATTATGAACAGAGTTGAGGCAAGCGAAGCTGTCCTGGCTCATATCGATAAAAATGCACCTACTAATGAGGAAAGGGATTTTTGATGACAGTTTACAGATTTGTCCCGGCAGTTAACAGTCACTCCGGAAAAGCAAGAGACGAGCGTTTCGCTCCTTTTAGGGGTCTATCCGTTTTGGGATTTCCTCAGTCCCCTTCAGAGAAGCGAAACCCATGACCACTAAGCCAGGACGGACGGTGGTAGATCGTTTTAAGTTGCAAGCCAACGGATTTATAGTGCGATTTATCCTCCAAGGAATTAATAATAATAATAATAATACCTCAAGAATGATGGACGAGAAGTAAAACATCACGTAGAACAATCAAATTAAAAAGTTCTGAAAGTAAGTGAAAGCGTCGTTGATCCCTTGATCATGTCACAAACCTTGGTGTGGCCAATTCAGAAGACAACAGACGGGATGACGAGACCAGCCAGAAGTAACCCTTCAGTAGGTTATTTCATGCCCTATCGTCAACGAAGCCCAGTAGTGGGGAACGATATACGTCGATCCGGTCGTCTTGAAGGTATGCGGAGCACATAACCAAGATAGTTGGGATGAATCGAGTTCTACAGAGATTCCGACGAGGTAGCAGAATATAGATTAGCTAACACCAGATGATTAGCCCTGATACTACTTCCGCAGTGTTCTCATCAGACGTGAGCAACATTTAGCAGACATTGGTGGTCACACACGGTCAATTCCCCGATGATCTGAGCACGCAGTAGCAAGGAGACTGATACATCCGGTAACACTGTCCGGACAGGCGTTGTCGTAAACTTCTACAAGCGGAGGATGTGGTGTTGGTGACGCATTGCACCAGTATATCAGTGACTTCCATATTGGGAGAAGATGGCGAGTGCAGGTGGATGACCACTTAACGGAATGTTACCCGTTCAATAGCGGCGTACCCCAAAGTACAGTACTGGAGCCCATTTTGTTCCTGATAAACATCAACGAAGTACCTCAGGTTCTTCGGTCGCGCTACGGATTAATTGCAAACATCCTGAAGATTTGGTGGATTATTGATTCTCCCGACGACTGTAACGTCCTTTAGCAGGACCTCGACCGCCTATCCCGGTGGTCTGCAGAGGTTGACCTACAGGCTAACCTGGCCAAGTAATCGTTTATGAGCCTAGATGGGTAGTAATGGGGGTGCGTACACTCTGGCCGACCACCCGCTGCATCCCACCAGTTCCGTAAAGGATCTAGGCGTACTCTTACGCTGTGATCTGAAGTCTGTCGACAACACGAACAGACTACGCCTGTTTTGGGCACTTAGACGCAGCTGCTGCACTTGATCTGGAGAGATTGGCACCCGCCTGTTCTCTTCCATGTTAAAACCAGTGCTTGAGTACGGCACACCTGCATATTACCCGATCACAATAGGTGAGGTGCAGAGACTGGAACGGGTTCAGTATGTGGCTACCCGGCTCATCCGCAGTTTACGAGGTATGCCGTACGAGGACCGATGTAGGAGACTAGGGTTTTATATCTTGTTATATCGTCGGCGTCGAGTTGATTTCATTACGACATAGCGCATATTGCACCTGGACCACTTCGTTGTAACGTCGCTGCTGCACGTTCGCACACCAACAGCACACGCAGACACCAGTACAAACTAGTGGTACCGGATTTAAGGCGCATCGCTCACGATATGTGCTTCCAGCGTCGAGTGGTGAAATATTGGAAGAAGTTGCCAGAGACGCTAGTCGAGGCGAAATCGGTGTTGGAATTTAAGAGTTTTCTTGACGCCCATTTGCAGACGTCAAGTAAAGGGAGTGCATCGCACCCGGATAACATGTAGTGCAGCTGTAATATGCTGCCACCGCGGAGGAATCAGCGAGGTGATTCCGCGCATGTGTCCAATTTTTTTACGATAGGGAAACAAGGATTTTAATCTTCTTGCTCTCTATTCATAGTATTCAGTATTCATAACACAAACACTTACATCCCACCGCCTGCACAAGTGACTGAGGTTCGGAAAAGCCACAACCATTGTGATGGGGAGAAAGCAACCCAGAAAATTAATCTGATCAGCAATTTCGAGTGATTCTCCGTTGATAGCAAACCTAGCAGCAGTA